ATTAAAGAAGTTATCGCTGGGTGTTAAAAATGCAAGGCACATAGTAAGACTGCTCTCACTTAACATGTCTTGTAAAACATCGGGGGATTATAAAACCATGAGAGGTACGTAAATCTCTGCGGGGAAAAAAGGAATGGTTAAATTCACTACACCAGAAGTGATAAAGCGCAACACATTGCAAAACGCAAATTGAAGATAGGCAGTTGTAGTGCCTCCAAGATGACAGCTTCTAATAAAAGATCATAATAATAACCGACATGTCTTAACCTGTTTTTATTAGTACCAGTCAATTAAATGCCAAGATCCAAGCGACCTGGACAAGGATGATTCTTGTCCAGGTCGCTTCCTAAGAATGCGGTAAATTCTAGTTTGCCATATTTCTGCACAGTAACCAATTAATCTGATGCCACACCTTAGTAAATTAAAAGTAAGAGCATTGGCAATCAATCTGCTTACGGCAAATGGCATAAATAACCTCTTATTGTAAAGTAAGAAGCACACGCTGCGAAGCTTGCCAGAGATATGGCAGAAATGCGTTGACCACCACAAATCTGAATAAAAACAAATACCTAAGTACATAGCAGTGTCACCATTTATCAGGGAACTACAAGTTCAATCAAGGCAGTTGGATCTGTGTAGCACAAATGATGAGTCCAGTTCTCCATGCTTCAGCGATGTCCTGATACAAACAAATCTAGTTTTGGGAGGGTTAATAGTAATATAACTGTCATAAAACCACTCCATTATTCGTGCAGTGTCATGTTGCAATTACTGCACAACTTGGCCGTATTTCATGTGAATAGAGTCAAGTAAAGTATCATCCGCATACTGCAAAATTTTGCAACTAGACAGCCTCGTTGAAATATCATTAACGAAAATATAAAATAACAAATGCGACAAAATTGATCGCTGGAGCACACCAGCTTTTAGTATCAGCTGAGCATTTTTGAAATATCTGATAGATACGATTTGGAAACGGTCAAGAAAAAATGTTTAAGCAATGCAACAAATGGACCATGGAAACCGTAATTCTGCAGTTTGAAAACAAGTATCTTATGATTGACCGTGTCAAAGGCTTTCGCGACGTCAAAAAAGATTGCACATGAACATAAGTTTTATCGAAAGCACTGTGTAGTAGCTTAAGCAAATCTTCCAGCAGAGGTTGGGTGCCCTTCCCAGAAAAAAAACCATACTCTTTAGGCGACTGGACGTTGGAAGGTTTAATGAAGCTGGACATTACAAGATACAAATGATTTTCAAGTCTCCCCCCCCCCCCCCCTTACAACGTAAGAAAGAAATAGGGCGATAACACTCATGTTTGTTATCCGATCTGCCTTTGAAAACAGGCTTCATAAGTGCGGTTTTAGTTCATTTGGGATGACACCAGAGACCATGAACTCATTTATCCTGGTAAGAAGTACGTTCTGAACATATACAAAATTTGGGCAGAGATCATTAATACGAATTGTATGAACACCAAAAGATTTGTTGCGTTTTGAAGACAACAAAATGGAATGTAATTCGTCTATTGTGAGAAGAGGAAGAAATGCCGAGTTTCATACACCAATATTAGCGCTCGAGGCGAAGGCTTTCAAAATCACTCTCTCTCGCAGCCCCCGATGACGTAGCAAAAACTTTGTTAGAGCCGTTCACTACTATTTGTAGATCTGAGCCAAGTATTTTTAAGGGAGTCAAGAGGCGAAGCTTCACCCGCTGTAAAGGGAGTCAAGCCGAAGCTCCACGCCCTGTAAAAGAAATATTCAATTTCCATGCTTCACGTGGATTTGATCTTGCCTCTAAGAATCTTTGCTGAATGTAGCTTCGTTTCGCAGATCATAAAATTGCATTAGCTCAGTTCTGAGTGCTTCGAACCTGTGCTTTTAACTGCACATTTTTGGTAAACGACGGAAACGCAGCCACAGCGTATCCTTTTTTCTCTTTTTTTTTCAGTCATAGTATCAGAATTTAACCATGGTTCATAAGACAGCCGTTTGAAATAAACCTCCTTCTTGGCGGCACAAGAACAGGATTGAAAAACCTTGATGAAAGCTTTGTCAACATTTATTTATTTATTTATTTAAATACCCTCAAGGCCAATCGGCATTAAAGAGGGGCGTGGGAGTAACAAAATAACACACAAAAAGAAACAAAAGGGCAGAGTACATAACATATCATGGCGGCTCAGGACAGTAAAGAGTGTTTAGAGCATTTTTAAACATTTGGGCATCAATACTATAAATTACAGAAATCGGGAGGTGATTCCATTCCAAAGAAGTTTTAGGGACGAATAATAGTAGAAATGCGTTGGTATTACAGTTACAAATTCCAACTTTGAGGTGATGATCGATGCGAGGTGAAATGTAAAACGGTGGGAGGAAAAGACGTTGCTTTAAGTACGGGTTAGTATGATAGATCTCGTGAAAAAGACACAAACGAGCAACTTTTCGTCGGAGAGAGAGGCACGGACAAGGTGATTTTCATGGAGCTAGTAGTGGCAGTGCGGTGATAGTTACCTAGAATAAAACGGGCAGAACGGTTTTGGACCGCTTGCAGAACGTTAATTAGATTAGACTGACTGGGGTCCCAGATAGAAGAAGCATATTCTAATTTGGAGCGAACGAGAGATTTATAGAGTGTTAATTTTAAGGCTGACGGTGCGAGAGCAAAGTTTCTTTTCAGGTAACCTAGCATGCGGTTAGCGTTATTGATGACATATTCAACATGCAGTTTCCATGAGAGGTTACAAGTAATGTGAACGCCCAAATATTTATAAGAAGAAACAGGTGCCAAAGGGACGTTGTCGAGATGGTAGAAGGGCACATTAGGACTAGTACTTGATATTCTCATGACTTTACATTTAGTAATGTTAAGTTCCATATTCCAAAGTTCACACCAGTGGTAAACAGCATTGATATCTGTCTGGAGCTTTAAAACATCAGAGTCGTTAGTAGATTTAGTATATATTACACAGTCGTCAGCGAAAAGATTAATTAATGATGAAACGCAATTAGGTAGGTCATTGATGTAAATGAGAAACAGTAGAGGGCCTAATACGGATCCGTGAGGAACACCAGACGTGACGGAAGTGAGGGGAGACGTGTCTCCATTAGCAGTAACAAACTGATATCGGTTAGTTAGAAAACAGGCTATCTAGGCAACTACGTTAGGATCAATACTTAATTTGTTAAGTTTTAATAGAGGCAACTGGCGAAAAACTTTATCAAAAGCCTTGCTAAAATCTAAAAAAACACAGTCAACCTGGGACCAACAATCAAGGATTGAATGAAGATCGTTAGTAATTGACAAAAGCTGCGTCTCACAAGAATGAAATTTGCGGAAACCATGTTGGCCCTTGTTAAAGAAAGAATTTGATTCCAGGAAATTAACCAGTGGGGAGTATATTATATGCTCTAGTAATTTACATGGTATGCTGGTAAGCAAGATTGGACGATAGTTAAGGGGGGAATGCTTATCACCTCCTTTGTGCAATGGAATCACCCTGGCTACCTTCCAGTCGTCAGGTAAAATGCCAAGTTCAAGCGACTGAGAAAATAGTTTAGAAAATATAATAGATGAATACATAATCGAGTTTTTTAAGAACTTTGAGTTAATATTATCAGGACCAGCTGAAGAAGACAGTTTTAAATTTTCTATTAATTTAACAATACCAGTGGGGTCAATCACGATGGGGTCCATAGGTATAAAATTATATTCCTGTAGTAAGCAAGATGGCGGATTAACAGAACTTGAAAACGAGTCAGCAAAAACATTGTTCAGGATCTCTGCACAAACATCACTGGGGATTGCACAACCGTCAACAAAAACGGAAATAGAGGACTTGTCTTTACTGTTAACAGTGTTCCAAAATTGTTTAGGACTAGTGGCTAGTAATGTCGGCAAGGTGATATTAAAGAAAGAATGTTTGGCGCTTTGAATAGCAGATTTGTGCTCCACAAGAGCGTCGTGATAGGCTGACCAGCGATCCGGTTTTTTAGAGGACTTGGCAGCCCTAAACAAACGTTTTTTCTTATTGGAAAGCCGCTTGAGTTGGACATTGAACCAAGGAGAATTAGTGTGGGACGTTATCGATCGAAGCGGAATGTATCTATCCGTGAGTGATTTAACAATATTTTTAAAAAGGTTCCAATTTTCTTGAACCGATCGTTCTGAAAAAGAATCGATGTAGTCATCCACAAAGAGACCGAATTCATTGTTAATGGCGTCAAAATCCGCTTTCTTATAATCTCGAATGAATTTGGCTCCTTTCGAGGGAGTAACTACAGGTAAATTTAACGTGATGTGTAACGTACAATGATCGCTGAGCTCAGGAAGATGAGAAATTTCAGAAACAAGATTGGGTGAGGAAGTTAATACAAGGTCAAGCAAACTGGCAGTTGTGGCTGTAACACGTGTGGGCTTTGTGACAAGCTGAGTTAAGTTGAAATCAACGATTACATTTAGAAAATCGAGACATTCTGAGGAATTGGAGGCAACAGAGGGACACATTCCAGTCCACGTAATACTAGGACAGTTAAAATCTCCCAAGAGAAAGACGGGAGAGTTAGGAAACCCGGTTGCAATCAAATTAAGAACGTCATGTAGCTCATTGGGGAAGGTGGCAGAACAATTCGGCGGTCTATAACAAACACAAAAACAATACGTTTATGGCTTGCACTAACGCATACACAAAGAAACTCAAGATTAGTTGAAATGTTCAATGAGAAAGATGTCATATTCTCAGATACAGCAATTAACACACCTCCACCGGATCGGAATTCTCTATCATAGCGATACATATTGAAACGCTTAAAGCACGAAAAAATTTCGCTGTCATGTACTTTAGCAGAGAGCCTCGTTTGTGTGAGATTAACTATATCAGCAGATGATGAATCTAAAACGGCATTAAGTGCGTCACCATTTTTTATGACACTGCGTATATTAGTAAAAATAATCGAAGTTTGTTCAACAAGCGGACGATGGCTGTTATTGCTGTTAATCTGCTATGATGATGTTCGTGCAGGGCTAGAAGATGACCTATTAGTTGAAGCGCTTGCTACGGCCTCCTGATGCTCTCCAAACTGAACGGCGGAGTCAGTTTCTAAACAGTAAGTAAAGACTTTTTTGTCGACATAAAGCTTGTTATAACACAAAGTAAATGCAATATTGGGATACGTACCCTTCGCTAATTCGATTAGTTTACGTCGTGCCTGACGGGTTGCCGGCAAAAAGTACTCGTTTACAAAAACACTGCTATTTTCTAGTACCGATTTTGAACTCAAAATATTCTCACGAGCCTTTAGATTTGCAAATTTTACAATTAGAGGACGACAACGGCTAGCAGAGAAGGCGCCCATTCTGTGCGCCCGAGCAATACATTCCACGTCAATCTGCAAGTTCATGGCTCGAGAACACACCGTTCTTATCTTCTCCTCCGATTGAGGAGAAGATCTCCTCAATCGGAGGAGAAGTTCCTCTCTTCTCCTCCATTCGTCCAGCTTCAACGCTTTCGTTTCTATATTGACGAGTCTTTTATTCACGTCAGCTAGTTTATTTTCCATCGACTGCTGGCTTTTCCTTACTTTATCAATGGAGCTGATTAAGCTGGCCTGACCAGTCTCAAACTTCAGAGTTCGGGCATTAACGTCCTGAAGTAGTTGTAGCATTCCGTCCATCTTCTTGCTCTGGTTGTCCTTACTCGGGTTTTCTGGTACGGAAGTCGTGCGAGGACCAGGGTTAAGTTCGACATCTCCGCCCAGAAGTAGCACCAAAGAACACAATGCATCAAAGCATTCAGCTATACAACAACACAGCACTTTTGGGCGAGGCAGCACTACAATGCAACGATAATCAGATTTGACTTTTGAAAAATTTTGTAGTTTACCCACCTGCAGCAGAAACAGCATGGGGTTAGATTGCGACCGCATTCTCTCGAAGCTGCCTCGCTCACTGGCGGTGCCAAGAAGGGGGGCGCTTCGTGAAGGTTCTGTCGATGTCGATGGCGATAAGATGGCGTACCGTCCAAGAGGAATCGAAGCAGAAAAGTTCAGGTAAACTTAATAATGTTCGTTGAACAGGTCACAAATCACGAACGAAGTGGGTTGTCGAGGCAGGCATCCTTGGCAAGCTGGTCCGGCTGAAGAAGTCCCCCGGCAGCAGGAAGAACGTAAAAATCTTCAGCAGAAACACCACGGGGTTAGATTGCGACCGCATTCTCTCGGAGCTGCCTAGCCCACATGGAAATGTTCTACGGAAATCAAGAGCTCGTTCAAGTCAGAGGCAGCGACCAAAGCATTGAATTTTACCGTATCCCTAATTGGTATAAGCGAACAATCGCGGCTGGTTCCGTGCTCCTCAGGTGCCTGAGCGTCAGAACGACATCCAACAAAGTAATCATCGGATAGTTTACGAGTAATTACGGCGGAGTTTGCAGACATATCCGGAGCCCAAATATTTATGTGGTTTGTGAAATAGTGTTAAGAGGAGCAAGAAACAAGGCTTATGTACAATATTTACATTGGTGGGAAACGTTGTAATCCGTCGAAGGATTCTGTATTTGCTGTCATTGGGTATTCGTTTAGACGATCTGAGTTCAGCACCTTGTAGTTTTCATTCTGCTATTTTGTTTTCCTCGCTATCTATCATGTCCTTTTTATCGTTTTTACTAAAGAAAGTTCTAATAGAATTATTTTACATGGTCAATACAGAAAACTACAATTTTTTAACCAATAGCTCTTTTGTAGTGGGTAGGGTGATACTATTTTCAATGCCATATTCTTAGAGTATCATATAATCTCAAGCTATCGATTTATTAGTGTTAAGAGTATCAATATTTAAATCGCCAATGACGCAAAACTTGCGAATGGGGCCATCTGAACATGAAAAACATACAAACATTTGTATGTTCACAAGCAATGACCCAACAAGCTCAGCCTAAGCCCGTAACGACGAAAAAAAAAAACTGTCCTTCCGAACCAAACTGGTTAAGCACCGCATCTAGTTCAGCAAGAAAGAGCGAAACATTTCCTGAGGGAGACCTTTAAACCTTTAACAAAAATAAAGAAAAAGAAATACGTGTTCTGGTATTTATAGTCTGAACCATCGTCACAAGGAGGCATTGTTACGATGGTTAAGACTATAAATACTGGAACACGTATTGAATAAATTCAGTTGAGAGTTACGCATTGTTGTGTACTGTTTTCTCTTTTTCCTCGTTTTCGCTGCGCACAAGCTTGCAAAGATGTCAAACCAACGCGCCCAAGCGACTACTCTTCTTCAATTCCTGATCCCGTTGAGCCTAACATTCAAGCCGATGCCTCGACCGCCATTGCAGCTCTGCTGAATGTCTAGCACCAGCGGGCTGCCCAAGAGCTTAGGCAACGCGATTCAGCGCTCCTGGAGGCCATTTCAAGCTCCTTCAAAATAACATGAGTAACAAGCGTTGAAAGCTTCCGGGCGCTGGCACAACCATGATCTCTATCAACTGATCAAAATAAACTTCCACCCACGTCTCTACCGACCATCGCTTCGTCTGCGGCGGATCTCAAGCTACGGTCGCCACAATTCGACGGCACCGGCACCTGGCGCGTCGACACGACACAGTTTCATATAACAGCTGCCGCCAATCGTTGGACCGGCAGCGAAAGGCACAGGCACTTGCAGTCAATCTTAGATGGTCAGCATTACAGGTCCTTCACCAAATGTCACCAGAATCTTGTTCGTCGTACACCCCTCTTCATAGAGTTATTATAATGTACGCTAGAGGTTCAAATGGCGCTAGTGTGCTGCTGCAAACTGAAGCAGACAGCAACCAGTCCGAAATTGACTTCCGGTAATGCATTTCTATGGGAAAAAGCAAGTGCATTTTCTCTCTGCGCTCGATTATAAGAGCAAATATCACGAATAATTCGTACGTACTGGGCACATTTGAACAATTCTCAGTTACGCAGGCATAATTGGTCATTTACAGCGTTTTTATTTGAAATTCGTGGCATGAAAAACGGTGCTTAAACCTCTTTGTACGTGTATTTATGTGCACTGTCGGACACTGTTAGCGCGAACACGGCGTCGGCGCTTTCGGCATGGGGGATATACATGCCAAACGAACGAAGGACATGTAAGAAAACCAAGAGAGACGGCAAGAACTACGCAGCACCATTGGATAAGTACCTCCTGTGAATGCAGGCGATCAAAATAAATTGAAAGCCACGTGACATAGTCAGATTTGCAATAAATAACTACTGCTTTATTCTTTCTGCTCATGAATATGTGCCAAGATGCTTGTTCTGGGTTCAAATCATCACGCGCACGCTCCAAATCTTTGCAAATAGGGAGAAGCCAGAGAACAGGTACCCGATTAAAACTGCCCGACATAGGAAATATTGAAAAAGTGAAAAGACACATCTTTCGTAGCCCACATACATTTTTTTTTTAACAGATCGTGAAGATGCACGGCGGATCGAGTCCATTCTGATGTTAGCCTGAGACTGAGGCAGGAAAAGAGGAAGTTTCAAAGTAGAAGAAAAAGGAACAGTCGAGGATACGTCTCGATCATAAAAATGATCGAGTCATTTTTATATAGGAACGGAACGGGCATATTAGCGATATATAAGCGCCACCGGAATGCTAGCGAACCTTGAACGCACTCTACATTCCTTTCGATTGCTATTTTGCTTAGAATCATCGCTCATTTTTACGTACCTGCCATGGAACGGAGGTTTGGGCCTGGAATATAGCGAAGTTTAACATCGTTCTGTGGTAAAGAAAAATGCTGTAACTAAATAAATTACGCTTTCACAATATCAATAAAGGTACATACTATCCGGTACAACCGATATAACAAAAAGTTATTCATGTTATTTTCCGGCGAAGAGACAAAATTCACGCGCATTTTCCCATAGGAATGCACGGGAGCACCGCTAAAGTACTACCCTTCCCTAAAACAGAGTACCCACTACCCCTTCCCTAAAACAGAGTAGCCAACCAGGACTCCAACCTAGGTTAACCTCTCTGTTCTTCTTTTTCCGATTCTCTCTCTCTCTCTCCGCTAAAGTAGACTGGTTGCTGGCTGCTTCAATTTGCCTCCCGGAAGTCGCATAGACACTAGCGCCAGTTGAACCTCTAGCGTACATTATAATAACTCTATGCCTCTCTTGTTCAAGCGTTGGAGCAACGCTTCGGTGATGGGCATCAACGCTACCTACACCACACCACACTGCGCCGCGGGCGACAAACTTCGAGTGAGACGTTGTCTTATACATCCAGCGTCTTCCACGCTTGTCATATGTGGGTTCGCCTGAAGAAACTGTCTATGCCGCTGGCACTGCGGTTTTTATTGATGCAATTGTGTGAATTGAGATCCAAGGTGTAGTACGGCTTTCTCGTCCTCAAACACTTCAAGCCGCCCACCTTCATGCCCTAGAAGTGGAAGCTGCCCGTAAGGTATCACGATTGGCTACGAGGCATCCACTTGCCGCACGGGCCCCAGTCCTACCAAAGAAGATCTGCTGGATTTCGCGACCAGAAGGACGCAGCAAGATGCAATGTCCCCTAAGAAGCACTAAGGGGACATTGTATTACATCTACTTGCTCGGTAGCTTTTCCTTCATCCACCTACCTCCAAGCTACAATGATTGACGTCCCTGTGCGGGCATTAATAGACACCAGAGGCACAAACTCAGTCGTCCGACCCACAGCCTTCGATCAGTTACATCTGTCAGCCATGCCTGCTGGACCTGATTCCAGTTTTCAAACTGCAACTGGCGCTACCCTTGCTGTTTCAGGGAAAAGCCACGGTTCCGTTCCAAGTTGGTGGCCTGCAGACGACACTATCCGTGCTCATACAAGAAGTCACTGACGATTGCATACTAGGAATGGATTTGTTAAAGGGCCATCAATGCGTGCTCGGCTGTGCTCAAGGGATCCTTTACGTTTGTGCACAAGCATTTCACGTCGGTTCGGCGACTAGTATGCTATGCTAATGGGCTGCCATTAAACTCGCTAGCACCGTGTTGTCTTGGTCTCATACCTCATCTTATACCTCTCTAAGTTTTCATTGCTCCCCGCCTTCAAGAGAATGACGCTGTTCAACTGCAAAACTTACTTTCGCGCGTTTTGGGTTTATTAGGCAGTAGTGACACCGACTTAGGAAATACCAATAGGGCTACCGATAGCAATTATTATATATTGCAAATATCAAATTTGAATGGGGTCTCCACCCCAACCGGTGATGGAGACCCCGTTCGGCAAGCGCCTCGCGGAATAGCACTAACGAAGCGTTCGTACGTGAATGACCTCGTTAAAGAAATCCGCGGACAAGGCGTCAATGAGATATCTTATGGACTCTGGTCCTTGCCGATCACACTGGAAAAAAAAAAGATGGACCAACTTAATATTGCGTCGATTATAAGAAGCTAAATCACTCCCAAAGAAAGATTCTAATAATAATATATAATAATGTTTATTTGCACCATAGGATGGTGGTGATCAGTGAAAAAAGCTGTCAGGTAGAGCTTGAAGGGTTCCTGACCGCCTACAGAAAGCAGCAAGAGAGCCGGAAAAATCAGTAATCAAGACAAAACAAAAATTGTAAAAAGATTGTCACTATCACATATTTTATTCACAAAATTTAGGTGTTTTTTTTTTACATTGAGGCATGACGGACAGCAGGGATAAAATTATACAACTAGGCACAAAGATTACAAAGAAAGGTAACTACCTCTAGCCGCAGAAGAAAAAAGGTGATCTTACTTCTCTTTGGGACAACTTATCCCCATTCATACTTCTGGCCATATACAAATTGAGTAGTTTGGGGATAGTGTATTGAAGCATTTATTTACCATAGGTTGTTCTTGGTGTAGCCACCTCCCAAAATTCAGCAGCACGGGTAGGATAGCTATGAACACTTTTTGATAAGTGTCCAAGATCTATTAAAACATTGTGTATTTAAGTTGCTCTAGTTTAAGGCTAGTGGTAAGCATATAATCACACAAGGTATGCACGTTTATGACGCGAATTTTGTTTAGATAAGCCAGCTTTGTGAAAATCATACCAGACTGCAGCTAAAGCCCTCAGTATTTTTTTTTTTTTTGCAATACATGTAACGTTTTTAGATTTGT